CCCCTGCAGCCGAGTAAAGAATTCCACCAGCTTCTGGAGTGGAAAGGGGCAGTCCGTAAAGCTGCCCGCTTGCGCTGGTGTTGGCCGCGGTCTCTGTAAGGGGGTTGATGTGACGACCGGCCGTGGACTTGGAGCAGCCATTGCTGCTGAGCGCAGCCCCATCTGGACCAGGATCCAGTCATAAAAGTGCTGCGTGGAGGTGTAGACTCTGGGCCGCTTTGCTCTTGTGCAGCCTTTCCCCCAGCTGGTCACCCCAACAAGCCAGAAGTACTCGGCATCCTTATCCTGGCAGACGAGAGGCCCACCGCTGTCACCCTGCAGCAGAGGAGGGAGGGAGGGGTCAGGGGGTGTCGGGTGGCCGCTGGCAGCACCAGGCCTGGCTCCTTCTCTCTCACGGCACCCGCCAGGGCTGTGTGCGCTGCGCAGAGAGGCTCTGCTCAGTGCTGGCGCCTGCAGAACCTTGCCAGGGAGAGGGGAGTGGGCCTGTGGGGTAGGGCGCTCTCTCATCTCCTACCTGGCAGGTGTCGATGCCGCCCCACGGGTACCCAGCGCACAGGTTGTGGGGGTGGACGGCCCCTGCGTACCACCGGCTGCTGTTGCAGACGTGGACGTTGATGAGGGGGACCTTGGCCTCCTGCAGGACATCCGTCGGGCCTCCAGCTGTGAGCACAGAAAGGAATTAACACCCAGCAGCTCGGTGCCAGGTCTCCTGCCCTGCCTGGGTGAACCACTCCCTTCCCTGGGGCTCGGCTTTGCAGCGTGACAGGCACTGACCAACTGCTACGTCAGGACATGAGCACTTTTTGCAACTCACCTCTCTCCACCGTGGACCTAGGTTACACATCACAGTATGAACCCCTACAGTGCAAGTACTGAAAAAAGCCAGGCATATACTGTGGAAAATGTTTCTTAATCTCCATTTGCCTCATTTGCTGATGGAAATAATACTGCATTAAGGTGTTTAAAAAATAACTTTCATTGGAAGTTGAACTGGTGTCAAGAAGAAAAGAAGCACTATCAGATTTTTCACTCAGCAATTGCAAAGAGAATAAACTTCAACCAAACACTGCATCAGAAGGAAACATGCTCTGATGTGCTTGGGAACCCCAATGCCTTTAGTGAAAGGAAAATGGTTTGAGTGTCCCAATCTGTACTTATGGCCTCTGAACTACTTGAAGCTATGTGTTTCTACCCAAGATTACAAAACTACAGTCTCCTGAAGGGCTGATAAAGAGCATGTCAATAGTGATGTTACTCACACTTCTGAAAAACAAGATTGGTAGGGTAGCCAGGGGTCTAAGCAGGATACATGTGCTTGCAATAGGGCTGAGGGAGACATCAGGGAATTACAGGCAGAAGGTAGTGTGTATGTGTAATATTTAAGACTATAGCTCTGACAGCCCCATCTGAGTTTAACAAACCATATAAGAGCCCACCATGAGATATCTCTCATCTATCTCTCCCAAACAGTAAAAAGTAATATTCTTTCTTATCACTTCCAATTATCAGACCAGCTATGTGCTCTTGTCAGGAACAGGATCTCCCCATGTTCACACTGTATCAAACTTCAATTATGTAACCTATGTGAATCTACTATCTAAATTAGTAGCTGTACAAAACGTGTTGTAGAGATAGCACAAGACATGAAGAAAAAATGAAACAATGAACTACCCATCCTCAAGGAAATGAATGTAAGTATGGCAGAGCCCTGTACCATACTCAGGACATTGTCTTTCTGCAACGCTGGCAATAATTCTTTGTTCCTCACGAGTGGTATCAGCTCAGTCAAGGTCTAGAAAAGGCAGGGTCCTTTCAGAGGAACAGTTAGTCCCCTGTGCTCCTGACTCATTTATCTCGGTAAGTTCTAGCTGACTTTTTTTACCTTCATCATGCCTGACAGCAACATGAAACATGGCCAGAAGGTGGAGATGCTCACTAAGAAGCTTCATAGACAAACTTCCTTTTCCTGTCATTAACAATGTATACTATAAATTAATGGCAAACAATAACTAACTTACTAATTCACCACCTTGAGCTCAAAACCACACCTTTACAACTATTTTTTCCTCTGTCAGCTATATTAACCAAGAATGTTAGGAAAGCCCCACCTCATCACAAGGCTTTTCAACAGTGATGGAACTGAAATTGTGCAAGAAATTTGCACAGAGAGAAAACGATCTCTGAACCCTTCTAACAGTCTGCTTCAACTAACCTATCCTATTTCTGTTTCGAACAATAATGTTTCATACTCTTAAAGGGCCTCTTGTCCTTGCACACATTACTCATCATGTTTGAGAAACTTTTATCAGCAACACCCATCAGTATAGAGGTCAGTTGTCTGTTTAAACACAGGTGCTGAAAGAAAACCATTAGAATTAAGAGATCTGGTACCTCAATTAGACCTCTCAAATCTAGTTCAGCCTTTCAAAGACTTCAAGTGTATTTAAAGTGTTATCCTGTCAGAAAAAGGTCATGGTTCACCATTTTCTAGAACATGTTCCCAAAGTGAAAGACACACACAATTACAAATGATCATCTATCAGAGCCCTCAAATAGGAACGAAGACTAAAGCCAGTCAGATGTTCTCCTCTACTGAAGTTCAAGTACTTCGTTACCATGTCTCTGCCTGAAGCCCATCTCACTGTGAAGTAAAAAAGGTCATCTTAAAAGATTAGAGTAGAAAGCAGCTTCTTGGCTCACTCTAACTTGGATGGAAGAGTACATTTTAATTATGATCCAAATACCTCTTCTCACCCTCTTGCACTTCCAAGGATCAGTCATTTATCAGAGTTTTGCATTCTATCCACTCTGGAACAACTGCACACCACTTTTATAAGCACTGAGAAACAGTCCCCAGGCAAATTCAAAATAAACACAGTAAGACCCAAACTCCCGAATCTGACAGGCCCTTTTCTTCAAAACTGGCTGATGCTGAAGGCTGGCATTTGTTTTTAATTAACAATATTCCTCCCATTACAATGTGTGTGGTACCCATCAGCATTCCAAATGGCTTTTCAACCTTTCCGGTGCCTCAGACTCCCAAAGCCAAAATCAAGCTTGTGATAGTATCAGAAGTTCTCAGCTGTGTGCTAGTAACAACAACCAAAACCATCTTCTTACTGTTCACGTGCAGATGCAAAAGTGATTTCCTTGAAAGAAGACAGGGTACTTGGCACAGGTAAATGTGTTATCCTTCCCTACCTCTCTCCAGGCCCAAAAAAGCCTGGTATTATTAGGCTTCAGAGCATACAGTACAAACCCTCATTTTTTCATGAGGGATTTGAGTACTGGGGATTTTTGGAGCTGGAAGATTTAGTTGCTTTTACGTGTGCCATGGTGAAGATTCTGTTATCTGCAGGAACACATCTGTATTTAAATATTTGGTGTTGGTAGGAGATGAACACTCAGAGCTTGATGAACAATCTAAACACAGGATAAAAGCCTTGCCTTGATCTTGGGGATCTAAACAAATAGTTGACTTTTGTTTGCACTGTATTTGTTCTATGAAGTCAGAACATGAGATTCCAAGTGATGGTCAGTAAACTTCATGAATATTAAAATTTGCTGAGAATAAAAAAATGACAACAAAACTATTCTGGAAAATGCAATCAGTGGAGCACCACATAAAAGCTGCCTTCAGAATTTAAATACCTTCTAGGCTTCATCTACAGAAAGCTAAACTGGAAACAGCTGACTGCCATAGCATACCAGTGTGAGAGGTGGAAGGGTACAAACAGGTGAACTGAGGGGACAGGATTCCAGGCAAAATGAAGCGTGACAGTTCCCACACAAATGCTTCCACCCTGAAGTACAGCACAAGGACTGTCATCCTCACTTTTCTCCATCCTTAGCTTTTAGAAATAATGGTGATGGCTGGCTCCTTTCAAGGCCTGTCAGGAACATTTGTTATACGTTAAGTTTTACCCCTGGAATCCGCAAGAAATGAAAGAATTCCTCATCTCTAGCTTCTCTAGTCTGTCTCCGATCATTATAACATCTGAGGACTGTAATGACAGGACAGTTTTCAGAGCAGGAAAGATTATCTGGCACTTAGGGAGAATTGTGATCCTTAAGAAAAAAAGCCTCCATCATTCTGTAAATATGTGACACACATTAAACAGCAGAGGGACCTCTTTGAATCACCTCCAGCACAAACAGTTTGGATAACTTCCAAGTATGCTGTTTAACCGAAACTAGCTCCCCAGCATTTAGTATTCCATCACTTGCATATCTGTTTGCTCCAGGAGTACAGAATTACATTTGTTACTTGTTTTTGTGAAAATGTTTGCCAATCCCCAGAAATATGTTGGCTTTTTGTAAAAACATTAACTGTCCATCTGAAAACTTGGAAATGAGAAACTATTTGTCTCCCATTTTCCAGGGGCTTCAAACCACATTCAATTGATCCAGAACAAACTATTTTTTGTCCAAGTGATTCATCACATACCCTGCAAACAAGGTAAAATGTATATAAACAAATAACAAGATCATGTACTTCAGTGTGTTTTATCATGCTGCACAGGAAAAAATAATACAAAAAAATGCTGGAGATTAGTTTGAAGGAAAAAAAAATGGCTCATACCACAATGCTAAGGATTTGGAGGGAAGGGTTTGGTGAGTTCTAGTAGTTTCTTTAGATTTACACCAGTCTACATGGTCCTTAGCCTCCCCATATCAGTACTGTGTGGAACAGGATTTAACCACTTCAGAGAGATGATGATGGTCTTAATTCACTAATCTAAATATGAAATTAGATTAAAATCATAGGCTTAAATTCCAGTTCTCACTCATTGCAGTTGATAATACCGGAGATTGCTTTGTTATTTTCTACCATGGAACTAAGTAAAAGCAGAGACATTTTATCTACTCCTGGTCAAAACCACAGAACACTGAATAATTTGGTCAATGAAGAATTTGCAAAAATAACTGTAGTTGGGAGAGAATACTTACCAAGTTTAAGTATCTGAGCCTACACATGGCAGCAATTTCTTATTGTCCACCTTGCCAGGAGACCTAGAGAGGCATCCTCTGCACTGCCAGAGGGGACTCTCATTTCCCCAAACAAGGGAAGGAGTGGGCAAAAATAAGCCATCTGGGATCTGTGGCTAGCTATTCTTCTCCTCCAGAAGCCCAATCCCTATAAATAAAGCAGCAGCAGTCTCTCCTGAACAACTCTTACCTTCTTCTTTGAAACAAAAGTAGGGGATTATATTAAATAGAGCAGGTTAAGAAAAAAAAAATGTTATTTACTGTTACTTCAATTGCAAAGTGAATTAAGGCATTCAAATTATGAAATGTTAGATAAATGAGTCTCCGAAGCTCAACTCTATTTAAAGGAACATACAATGTGTGCACACACATTAAACTGCTCTAAAGTTAGGCATCTACCTTACACAGGCTTCTTTAAAAAACCCTGCTCAAATCAAAAACCCATAGCACCACAGGATAGTTGTGTGCACCAAAAACTGATCAAAAGCATCATGACAACACAGATGAAAAGCACCAATCCATTACTATGAACTCACTTTGCTGATGTATATGTTACAGGTTAACTTTGTAGCTTCAGGCTTGCAATACGTAGTGTCCTTCAGTGACTTTTTGCTAGACCTAGTGTCCCACAGCTGGCATGATGCTGGCAAGAAAAAGCCCTGATATCAGCATAAACTTTGTATTTGTGTC